AAATATCAGTTCCACTGTAGTCTCTTGTGAATACTAACAAGCATGAAACCAAGGTCAAGAGATTCTTGGCAAGTTACTTTCATTATCTTACAATAAATTAAAATACCTGATATAAGTCAGTGAGAACATTCATACGAGAAAATTAGGAAACGTGTGGATATGATTATACGATTAGGAAATCTGGAGATGGTCTGTCATGCCAAAGCAAACCGTTTCTGAGGTCTGAGTGGGTTGACTGACTGCCGAGAACCAATAATCCTAGTAGAATGTACACTACTAATGAAGTTCATAAACTAGGTTATTTATACTAGGCGATGACTGAAGGTGAGATGAAAATTTGTACCGCGGTAGGATTCGAACCAGTGACTATCGGGTTTCCGGTCAAATTTTTATTTCACCTTCAATCATCACCCGGTATAAATACTAGTCTACCAAACTACAGCTATCTCAGATAGTTGAAATGATAAAACGGATTATCTCATAAGACTAATACTCGACTTTAGGAGTATATCACTATTTGAAGTGTCGATAAATAGCCCCACGGGAAACTGAACAAACTCATTCATAAATAATTCATAAGAAATGAAGCAAAGATTAGACGATATTCAAGTAAATTGGAATTAAAAAGTGAAAAATTCCTTCTTGCCGATGTATATTGATCAGGATATTTTGGTAGGTAGCTAAAGAATGACCTGAACTCTATCGCCAAACTAATTCAAAGAACTTGGTCACAACTGAGGACAACTTATTAGTTCAGTTATGGTAGTGATTTGATGTTCTCTGAATTTTGATATTTTGTTGTGAACATTTCATCACTAGACTTAGTGACATCTTCAGTTCTAACTTCATTAAGAAGTTAGTGTCTAGTAATGAAAGGTTGACGACAAAACGTCAAAGCACAGGGGAAATCAAACTACTATCATTCTTATCTTGAGCTTAAAATCTTTCCCATTATTTCCGAGTTTAATTATGTTTTAACTTTAAAGTTTTCACCATTTAAGATGAAATACATTTCAATAAATGGAAGAAATTAGCAATGGAACCCTCAGTATCCCCAGTTTTATCACTCAGTGGAATAGTATTGTTTAGGGAATTACGTTTTGAACAGAATTTATTGTCTCTAGTCACATCAAGATAACTATACAACTTTCGGACATCTTTTAGACAGTCTTAATTTCCTCGCCACCTCTGTGAAATAAGATTTGCAATATATCCAGAGTACGTGTTGAGTCATTTCTCATGCATGTATTAGGTGTTGATTGGATAAACAAAGATTCAGTTATCAGTCTCTCCCTCCACATTTAGTCCAGCTTCAAAAATATGGTTTCTATATTTGAACGGCACGTTTACAGTGTTGAAATAGGAGCGCATGCATAGTTTCTTCATACAATGTAAATTCAGTAGTCAACGTAATCCAATTCACCTATGAATAAGAAAATAATGAAGGAGAATTAGCAATGTGGCATTGCAGAATAAAATGAAAACAGGATGGGACTTTAAACACTAGTGTCTACAGAAAACCTTCATATTCAAATTGTCTCAACCTATATCAGTTAAAGTTGGCTTAGGGAAGTGTCTAAGTAAAGAGGCCAAGAAACTTACTTGTAAAACAGAAGATCTAAGACGAGAAATCAAATATATCAAGGACACCTTGCTCACCAACAATTACCCTCCTAAATTAATTGATAAGTTCCTTAGAAATCGTAAGGAACATATAACTAATATTAGTAACACAGGTACTAATAGTAGTTAATAGTATTTCTTGAAGCCATAATTGGCACTAGGAATTTACCAAAATTTAGGTAACTAACTCTATAATATCAATTCTTACTATACTTATCAGTTTATTAATACTTTACAACGAAAACATATCTAAAAGATGGAGCGATAAATTTCTATTCAGTATTATGCACAAATGAAATCTAAAACTCTATAGATCCGATTCGTTATTAAGTGTAACAGCTCATCATTTACTTGAAACAGTTAATAGTGGCTTTTATAACAATTAAGAAACATGAGAGTGAAATACCACTTTATTTTACTGCAGCACTGAACAATACACAACATTCATTTATCCTTTGTATTCATACAGAATCAATCGTTTATCTAAGATCACCTTGGCAACTTCCTTTTCGACCTTATTGAGTGATTTCTTTCTCTGCATACTTTTCAACCCAATTAAAGACGGATTCAATAATTCACTATACTTTTTCCTGTTTCTACTGTAGTAATTTGTCTTTCTTTTTTTCCTACAATCGTGTAATAACCACAGTTTTTCACAACCATTTGTATGGACAAATTCCTCATTTACAGAATTCAACCACCTATCAAAATTATATATCAATCTGTAAACTTTTTCCTTCTCTTCCAGCGAAACCACACTTATAGTTATAATGGATATTGGGTAGCAGTGAGATCCAGGACGCACGTTTCATCCTATTTGGCACTCATCGGCTGGGTGTACCTGCCTCCCAAGGAGTCATGTTGTTCCCCCTGGGACTGGAACTTAGAACCAATCGCTTCAAACGCCGGAGTGTTATCCACCAAACCACCGAGTCATGACAGCCACGTCCTGTGCGACGGGTATGATTTTAATGTTGTTGCTTGCATTATCCTGTCGTTGACTGCACCAAACTGATAGGCCCCTATTGGTATATGGGCACATGAACATACCCGTTGCACAAGGAGTAGCTGTAGTGGCTTGATGGTCTAGTGGATAGCGCTCTGATGTCTGAAGCGATCGATCCTGAGTTCCAGTCCCAGTGGGAACAATATTGCTCATTGAGAGGTAGGTATATCCAACTGTGGAGTCCCGGACAGGACGAAACGCGCTTCCCGGATTCCACTGCAACCCGCTATCTATCATATAAATGTATAACTTAAACACAGGCAATATTGAGGCATCTGCGCAGGAGCCCATATGCCAACAGACACCAATGAATTCGGTCCAATCACCGACAAAATAATACAAATAACAACATCGGAATCTACACCTATATTCATGAACATTCAAAATTAACAGATGATAATTTGACAAATTCTTTATAAATTGCTTAGTCAGCGTTGACAGCTCTCACTGGTGAAGGGAATTTTATTGGTTTTACTCAGATATCAACAATTATTATCACTATTTGTCCCTTGAGTTCCTAGTGAAACATACAGATTCACTTGCACATCCCCATTTCACTCTCTTCTCTGCTGTCTTCAAAACCTGGCTACACAACTGCCACTCCAGAATCTTTCATTTCTTCCTCACACGATATCCTCCATGTCACCCTCACCTCGAACTCCCAACTCGTTGTCTCCCCTTCGTATTCAAATCAACAACCTGGCCTGACGCGTGATGTCCCCAATCCGTCTTCTCAGTGTATACCCTATCCATCTCCACTTTCTTCTGCGTATTTGTTGGGTGGTAGGTTATTGGTTGGTTGCTGCCAGTCGGAGTTCCTTGTCGCTTATTCTGATCATTCTGGCCATCTCATCTCATCTCTTCTCATCTCATCTCATCTCATCTCATCTCCATACTCAGTATCCAGCGAGCGTATGCGCGAGCTGTTGATGAATGTTTGTAGTTTGTTCGAAATGCTTTTCGTGATACTTCAGGTTTCTGAACCATCACATAGAAGCAATGACTTGACTGAATTGGTGTTGACAATCCGGATGTTGTTCACGCTTTATGCTGAGTGACGTGCAGTCGATCTGCACACTGATTTCAGGTTAGTGAAGGAAGGCCTATCTTGCTATCTTTCCGATCCTAGCTTTGACTTCGTGATCTGTGCCTGTGTCGCGTGTAGTTGAGACTATGTTGTCTTGCTTAGGTAGGTGGAAGAGACAACTCTCATTAGATTTCTCCCATTGGTGGTGATTGATGCTTGTTGTTTTGTTGTTGTTGGATGGGTATTTTCATCACCTCTGTCTCCTCTACGTTCACCTGAAAGGAGTCCCGTCTTCACTGTCCTGCCTCTTCTGTCAACTTGTTAGTTTTCGCCTGCAGATCTTCTAGTTTGTGTGACATAGGACATAAGACATAAATCATCATCACGGTGAAATCCAAATCTTCCCTGCAGGTCATTTCATCGGTCAAACAGCATATGCCCTTTGTTTCACTCCTCACGATTTGTTGAATGATCTAGTTGAGTGTAGTCGAGTCAACCACAATCAGGAAGATCATCGGCGATGGTAGGTGGCATCCTCACCTTACTTCTGTCTTCACTTCACTTCAGAGGCGTCACTCAGCTCTCCACTGCGAATCACTTGGCATTTGGCGTCGTCGTCATTTAGTTGTTGAATGAGGTTGATAGAAGTTTGTGGTACTCATTGGTGTTGAAGCAGCTACTTGCCAAATTACTTCTGGGTCGACGCTGTCGAAAGCCTTTTCAAAATTGATGAAGTTGTGGTAGAGATGTAGTTGACTGTCATTCTATGCTATGTTCTATGATGATGCGTAGCGTAGTGTTGTGTTGCATTGCGTTGCGTTGCAATTTGATGTGCACATGATTTGTTTTTCCTGAAGGCAGGCAGGTAGCCAGCCTATTTCGGTGGTAATTTTGAAAGCAGAGCACTTTTTATTCCTCCAGGACGATGCGGCCTAATATTTTGTTTGGCGTGTATCACAGCATAATTCCGCGCCATTGTTCAAAAAATTATTAAGAATTAAAGAAAGATACGACTGAATATCATGAGTAGTTAGACATCACTCACATTAATCAGATTTAATTGACGATAACGATTTGACTGTGGAAGCTTAACTAGTTCAGGTTTCCGGCTGATGAGATTGGCTGTGAACAAATGAAAACCTCATCCACTCATTAGACCAACCTAAAATCTGCAGATTAGTCGTGTATTGATGCTGTTCAGTAGTGTTTATAGATTGTTTCAGCATATACTGTAATCAGTCAGTGTAATTAATATGATAAACTCTATTCTATTTCTTATAGTTTTCCACATGAATCTAGAATGTATCCTAACATTTTTCTATGCATTAATACACTTTTTTAAAGGTTTCGAAATCAGTAATTGACCTGCTCGATCGTGAACACAAAGGACAATTATTAGACTTCTTGAAGCTAGCAAAACATCAGAATGATGCTGAAATACTTAGAAAGAAAACTGAAAGAAAATCAGTTAGTCAATCACACAAAAGTCCAAGGTATGCCAAGTTTGTTACGAAGAATTGACATGATTTAATTAACTGACAAAAGAGCCGCATACAATTTGTATTGACCATCAGTTTCTGTAGGGAGTTTTCTATTTCTGGAGATGAATGTATCCTACACATTATGCGTGATCCAAAACTTTCATAAGTAGTATTCTTAGTACTGTAGGGTACATTTTCTTCATGTTATATTAAATTGTTTCCATTCTTCATAAAACTCATATTGATATCAGTCTAGTCTCTAGAATGAAAAAATTAAAATACATTTTCTTCATTTTCGTTAAAAGTAAATCTCCTGACAGCAGTTTGAACACCCCGGTGAATGCATTAAAACAAAAACTGGAGGTTTCAGATTCCATTGAACCAGAAATGTTTACAGAGGTTAGTTTCAACCTATTTACTCATACTTCCTTCATTTTTGTTCACCATCTTTGTAGTTATCCATTTAGTAGATTTGTATGTAAATGATTGGTTAAGTAAGTAACAAACAACAAATTAGTAGAAGATTTGATCTATTAAAACAATCACTTCACAAATGAACACATTTCACATAAACATTTTTATCTGTTTAGCATTGAAGCGAAGTATTTTGTTTATAAAATGGTTGCATTCAATGAGTGAAGTAATTTACGGCTACTGAAATACGGATAACTGACACGCATTTTGAATCAAAATTAAATCTATCATAAAAAATTAGAAAGTACCGACTACTTATCCCAATTTTTTTTGTTATGCATTTTCAATGATACAGACCAATATTGTGATCTTTCAGTAAGAAAGGATGAAAAAGGGATTACACGTAGTCATAAAACTTAGTTGAAACCAAAAAGTGAAGACAAAATGTTAAGGAGACTTTTTCTTCAAATCACTCACTTATTAGACTATAACTAAATTTAGGCTACAAAGTTTGTTTCGATTTGAACCATTCAAAAGAGAAATGCAGCTGATTCAATGTTGGTCAAATCCATGTACAAATATATCGATTGTATGGCTAAGTCGCCTAATTGTTTAAAGCTTTTGATTTGAAAACTTCGGTGACAGAGTTTCATAGCCCCCTTTCTCAATGAAACAGATACAGTTGCATTTCACCCCCCCTACTAATGTATATAATCTTGTTGTAATTTTATTCCTGAATAGTCTTTTCCTTTAAATTCTCCTTAGTAATTTCAATATCTTTCTAACTGTGTTGATTTTCTATTTCTATGATATTCAAAAAGAAAGTTGAAATATACTCAGCAACCTTCGATCAGTAGGCAATAAGCCACACCGATTGTATGAAGCCTAATGTATATTACCTATCTCATTAAATCTAACTAGATGGAGTGAGTTTTGAAACTGTAATCCACTGATTGAAAGTCAATTCCTTAAGCCAATGAACAAAAGTTCTACTATAATATTGATTTTGGATGATTACATTTTGATGCAAGATGATAATCTATTTTATTCTGTTTATCTGAAAGTTTACAACACTCTTAGAAATTTTATATTTATTGTTACATTTTATTTGTTTGTTAATGTTTATTCCACTTGATAGAATCCATCTTTAAGAGAAGAAACTTATGCTTTTTGTGAATTTATTGCAAATTTGGATGGTTTACCAGATTATAATCCTGAGGCAACAACATTAGCTAGTCTTTTTGCTGGAACACATGAAACCCAACCACCAGTATCAACACCAATTAATGTTGTTGACTTAATAAATCTACCACCAGATTTAAAAAAATCTGTTGAAGAACCTCCAAAATTACTGAGTGATAAACATTCTTTAATCGATTCAAAATGTATACCACGGATAACAAAAACTACAGCAGCTAAACGTCAAGAAAAAGTAAGTTTTCTCATTTTCAAATATTTTTTTTTCCTAAGTATACTAATCAGAAGGGATTCTGAGGGAAATTGTATGAAAATTTAATTCTCGATTGAGTTCACAGCATCTTCAGTCAAACTAATGAGAATATGATTGAAATTTCTCTACCGTAGATAATTTACAACCTCAATCTAAACCCTTCATTCCATAAGCTGTATCATATTATATCAAATGGTTAATTAAGTGGTGTATTCAGAATTGTTAAATGATCAATAACAGGAATTAAATCACGTATTATTTGTTCATAATCAAATGTCCTTGAATCAACAAAAGAAACCTGAAATTGTTCTGAATATCATGATACTAAACTAATGAGTTAAATTAATTAAAACAAAATCAAGTTTCAAGCGACTTTATTGCTCAGTAAGTTGTGTAACCCTTCTCTTCTCTGTCATATCAGCACAATTGTGAAAATATTAAGATCTTAAAAGATTGACTGATGGTTTTATCTAGAAAAATTAACAAAAAATTACAATCAATAAAAGCAGTAGAAACGTCTGGGTAATTATTTGCACAATGATTATTTTTTGTTTATATAGATCTAGAGATCAAGTAATCACTTCAAATTAGTGTGATCTGAATGCCAGTTAGCATTCAGAGGGTTAGAAAGACTGAGAAATTTATTTAATAAGGATTTATTATTAGATCTGGCTAAACGGCACTTGAAAATCAGGCACGTCTAAAAAGAAATAACCATAATACACCTCCACCACTGACTGGACCCAGATGACGGGCCACTATTAACACACAGGCTCCTGTGATGATGCCTTGATATTACTGGTACTTTCAGTTTTCATAATACTGATAGATATTAGCTAATAGTCGAATTCAGGACTAGCGTTTCGTCCTTCCTTGGACTCGTTGTTTGTACTAAAATACCAACCCAGGACCAGTCGTTTCAGCATCACAGCATTATGCACTAGGTCACTGAGTCACGATAATCACTCCTTGTGTGATCATTATGGTATAGTTTTGATGCTACAGCTTGAAATTATTAAGTATTCTTCAAGCTTTATAAGATTTTTAAAAAATGCTGAAGAAGTCGTCCAGCCTGATGACGAAACGACCAAGAACAACGTAACCACGAAGTAAGCTTTGAAGTCAAACGGCATCAGCATTCAAAATGAATAGTTAAAGGCTGGTTGCATTTAAAGTTATTAATCATGACTCTACATATTCAGACTACTATAACGCAAGATAACTGTTTTGCTAAGCTAATTCATACCATTACCTCGTCAAAGTAATTCTGATAAGCTTCCAAAGTAGAATAGATCACTTACATGATCAGTAATCCAGTATGAATATCCAATACTTGGATAACACCTAACTGAAAAGCTACAAATTTGACCCGAAAAGCACAAGAGCCAGCACCAGTGATAAACAGAAGTGTGCAAAAGATACAATAACTACATGATCTTTAACTCAAACAGACCAATTGTCATTAGCAACCGTTATAAATCATAACAATCAGTCCTTCGCAGTTTGTTTTGCTTTCGTATATTGTCAAGATGAGATTTGGAAATTCAATTTAACTTGTCTTTAAAATCAATGTTAGAATCTATGAATCCAAAACACATTTCATGTTCAAAGACTTTTATCCAACTTTCTCTAAGCTTTGCTTCTCATAATTAAAAAGGGTTAGGTATGTTTCGTATTTAATACTTTCAAGGTAAATTACCATTTATAGTAAGGGGTTAAGGTTGAGTTTTTTTTTAACAGACTGTAGTTGGGAATTGAAATTTCTCAATTTTCACAAGAAAGCACATGAAATTTTGATCATTATATTATGTTACATTTGAGTAATTTCATTATGTCTAACTAAAAGGTTAGTGTAAGTTATGATTTCCCCCATTTTGTAATCTATCAGTTTTCGTCAAAATAAGGATTTATTGTGCAGCAGAGTCAATAATGTATTTTATAAAATCTAGGTTAAATTTGAAAGGAGGAAATGTGTTACACATGCCTAACTACCATTTACCTCGTCATATAGTGTAAGCTGAATTTGGTCCAAGTAGGAAAATGTTTAGAACTGGCTAAAATGAAACGTGGTATCACTTCCTGAAGTTTTCAACTGTTATTCTGAGCCGTGTGGAGTCCACAAGACAATAGAAATCATTGATTGGAGACTGTCAGGCACATGGACTAGAATGGATCTCAGTGGTCCAGATCTATCCATATAGCATCCTCATCTTAGTCATCTAACTGATCCCTAGCATTCTCCCATTCTTTATTGGTGTCTTTTGATAACTTTCTGCTACATTCAGCTCCCTTATTCTTAATTTCTTTACCTTTTATTTTGGTAAATTCTCCCTTGATATATTAACATGAGGTGTGGCAACCTGGATGGCTAGGCAGTTATGCCTGATCCTGTGTTGACATTGTCTGTCTATCTATATTAGAAACTCAGGTATGTCAAGGTAACACGCCTAAAACAGATTGATAGGCTTATCCTGGATCTGAAACAGTTAGTCCTTTTTATGAATTCTGATAGCGTAGTTAGAAGATGAAGTTTATCTGAACAATGTGATGTATTTGCAAAATACTCTTTCAACAATCTGACCACATGCACATTAACTTGTCAGGTTGGTACATACATTAAACCGAAGGGTGGGCGGACAATTACATTAATCAAGATAATAGGGGATTAAAATGAAGAAAGATGAGAACAAACAGGAAGTGACCTAGTTGATACTAATCTTGGTAAGAAAACAAAGTTTACCAAGTTAGGTGTAGTGTAAGAACAAATTGTTTTTGTACACGTTAAGGTGTTTTTAGTTTGTTTATGGTTATGGATTCCGCAAATCTCAGTATACGTCCCTGACTGTTTCTGAAAGCTGTTTGAACATAAATCTTGTGACCTGTTTCTATAAAATGTTTAGCTATAGATGAAGAGGCTTGCCTCCCACCAGCGTTTATCAAGGTTTCACACTCCATTTGTTTTTGAAGCCAATTAGGTACATCTTCTTCCATCCTTAACTGCATGGCTCGATTACTCCTCCCAATTAGTGTGTGACGATACACTCATGTTAATTGGTAAACGCAATGAGATATTACATAATCGTTGATGCAGTGATTAGGTTTTTAGTGAAGCATGTGTTTTATTCTTTCCACAGTGATAAGATTAGCTTCGTAATGTGTTTTTTTGATGGCCCATGTTAGCTTACGTCTCAAAATCATACTATCCAACTTCCCTCTCTGTAGTAGAGTGACATGGACGCTCTGAAGTGATCCCGGATTCCCCTATCAGCTACTACCAAATATAATTGACCCAAAGTGGTTTACCGGGACCTGTCACTTTCAAATAACTTTTTATTACTGACATACACCGGCTGAAGGACTTCTAAAAACTCTGAGCTTCAAGTGTTAAGGAATCTCAGGCCAAGGTGAAACAGCTTTCAAATGCTTTTGTTTATTTTCTGAATGTTTTCTAGCACTTATTGCTTCGTTTTGAAAACTATTCTGTGGACAAATAATAGTAATTTTGATGTATATCAAGTTACTAACAAGTTGATCCCTGTACAAAGCTGTTATGTGTATGCCATCTTCCATTTAATGAGCTTCAGGTGATTTAAATATTGTGTGCAGACTATATACGGATATTTCTCTAGTCTTAATTTAAGAAATCTAAATTGTGTGGTCTCAAACGAATATATTCACTCTGTACAAATTGCAGAGTAATTTGAGTAGATTGTAACTTTCACTGTAATTTACATGTTTTACCTGTCGGAGTACAGTGATCTGTTTTCCGGAACTGAGAAAGCTAAGTTCATTACATCAATTCGTGTATATGGCAGTTATTATTCATAGATAATTGTAATTTCCCGTTGCTATTCAAGAACGAAGTGATCAGCAAATAAAATTATAACATAATGAACAGCCAGGCAATATCGAGGCATCTGCGTACGAGCCCATCTACCACCAGAGATCGATTAGTTTGATTCGGAATAACAGTAAGAAATTACAAATATCAACAAATTATAATAACAGATATCCGTTTCATGAGAGATAGCTCTTGTACCTCAGTGGTTAATTAGGTAACCTGTTTGGAGCAGTGAATACTGGGACAGAGACTTGGCGGAGACATCTTCATATACTGTGGTGCAGATGCATCCAGTTGATGAGTCCTAAATAGGACAAAACGTGCATCTTGGATTCTGTTGCCAGCCACTACGGAACAAATCACAATTATATGATTGATTTGTGATTTATAGGCAACTGGTAAACTTTTCTTACTAGTGAGTAGCAAAAAACTTAAAGCTTATGTCTATATGACGTTTTTTGGCTGCCTTTATAAGTTACACATTAAATCCATTTCCCTAAGACTTTAACAAAACTTAGCAGATGGAATTCAGTTAATACTTGTAAATCCAAACCATAATACTGGTCGCTGTCGAGTGACCGACTGGTTAAGAGAATATTTTTTGAATATGAAATGGGACTGTAGATTTGTGAATTATTTTGTTCCTTTTAATAAAATTATTGTGAGAATATATTTTAATATAATCCCAGCGTGTTTAGGAAATCAAAACAAGATATTTTTGATCATTTCACAATGTAATCCATAACTTCTTCAGCAGAATACACACATTTTTATTAACACCGAAATGTATGGTCGAATGATACATCAAATATATTTAGTGAACGTAGGTCATTGGTTGGGTGATTTTCTCCTGTCCAAGATTAGTTATTACAAGTTCATGCTTGTTATTGTCATTTGTTAACGAATATGTAGGATAGTCAAAGTTTGTTATGGTGTTATTGCTTGTATTACATCGTCGTTGATTGGACCGAACTGATCAGTCTCTGTTGCATATGGGCTCCTGTGAGTATGCCTCGATATTGCCTGTGTTTTAATTATGTATAGTAATGATGGGTAGTGGCTAGCAGTGGAATCCAGGATGCACATTTTGTTCTATTTGGGATTCGTCATCTGGATTCTACTGCTACCGACTACCCATCAT